GTCCTGGGGCCGAACGAGGGCCCCTGGAGGCCTCAAACGGCCCAAACCGTCCGTCGCGAATTTCTAGACCAAGAAAAGACTCCCCACCCCCCCTGGGAACACCTTGGCCTCGCTGGGCAATCTCCCCCCCCCTAGGTGGGCATGGGCACCGTCCCCTTCGGGACTCGGAGCACCCCGCCCCACCTGTAGCGGCTACGATGGGAGAGCCCTGCCCCCGGTGCGGGTGGGGATAGTTCGGACGATGATGAGTTCTGAAGACGCGAGCCGGTCTGGGAACGCGATCCTCGATCCTGCCGCCACGCTTTCGCGACCGACGGCGCCGGCGCGGCCCGGGCCTCGCTGAGGGCCAGCTGCAGCAGCTGCCTCTGGACGTCAGAGGTCCTGCGATCGTCGACAAGGTCCTCCACTGCTGGGGCGGCGGGGGCGGAAGGGGGCAGGATGATGATGATGATGATGATGATGATGATGCTGATGATGATGATGATGATCATGATGATGATGATGATGATGATGATGCTGATGCTGATGATGATGATGATGATCGCACTCCCCTGGGCGAGTCAGAGAGACGGGCCGTTCAGCTGCCTTCTGCAGCGGGCCTCCTGGTGAGGACGCTCCGCACGACGCGCCCCTTCTTGGCGATGTGCCGGGCGCGGGCGCGCAGGAGAGGCAGCAGGCATTCGGGCCCGTACCTGTGCGAGCTCCTCAAGGAGTTAAAGGTGGAAAAGAGCAGGTCGCGGACGAGAAACAAAGAAAACAACTGCTGACTAGAATGGCATGGCATGGTGCACAGCATACGCGCATCGAGGCTCTGATTCAAATATTCGGCTGGCAGGGAGGGCAGGACAGAGGGAAGCAGGCTCAGAACATGAGGGCAATCGAAATAATGCTGGACGTGGTCGCCGCCAGCGGCTCGGCAGCCGAAGCGACAGGTAAGACGGCCTCGCCTATACCTGGCAGAGGTCGCCCAGGCGTTGCAGATGGTTTTGAGAATGGCAGCAGCCACAAGAGGGCCGACGCGCGTGCAGGCAATTCTGAGCCTGAGCACAGCAAGGTCGATACTAGAGGCATTAACCAGAGGAAAAGTGAAACGAATTCGATTGCCCAGGAGAAAAACCGCGGAGCAACTGGGGGCCTCAGAAATCAACTTCTTCAAAAACTGTTTCTGCAACTCGTGAGTGTCCTCATCGAAGTGGCTCCACGGCAGGGCTGTTAGACGCTCGTAGTTGTGAATCAGATGGAAAACAATGGACTCGGCACGCCATGTCGGGAACCGCTTGACCATTAGAACATCCCAGTCATCTTCCTCAAGCTCGTGAAATCGCCTCCGAATGCTGTCAAAAACCTTGGATCGAACAGCGACCCGATACATGGCAGCCTGATTCTCCAGCACGAGGTTGCGCGGGGCAATGGGCCAATGCAGCGCCGACGAGAGATTGCGGAGGAGATCAGTAGGAATGCTGTAGAACGGGCACGCGGTGAGAGTCTGCAATCCTTTGGTTTCCATGCGAAGCGCATCCTGCGATATGTAACATAGCTGCATAACGAAGGTGAGGACCGAGAAGGCCAGGGAATTGTATGCATAAATACTCTGAGTAAGCCCAAGACGAAGCGACCGAACATGACGGACCCGACAAATATATTTCTGAAGCGGAGCGGACCAGGATTTCTTGTAACCACCAGGGCCCAGGAAAACACCCAAGACTTTGCCACTGGTGCCGTGCATGAGCGAGCGAACGTTAGTGCGAACAGTTTCGAATAAGGCGAAATGCTGGTCATCTGGCATCTCTTGCGTGTGCACGATCATACACTTGGCAAGGTTCAAGAGCAGGCCAGTACATCGGCTGGACCTAATAACATTCTTCAGCACAATCGGAACAGCTAGCAACAGGTTGGATGCCGAGATCTGGATGTCATCTGCAAAGGCACGGGGTGAAGCACAAACTGGAGCTAGCAAGTTAGATAGTCGGCGCAGCAGCGGGTCGATGCATAATGCAAATAATGCACCCGACAGTGGACATCCTTGTTTAATGCCTTGGGTGATCGGGTAGCCTGGAAACTTTTTGCCTGCTAGGCATATGTGTGTAGATGCCTGTGTATAGGAACCGAATGGCATTCACGATATACATGGGAATATTCATCATGATTAACACATCTATGATCCAGTCGTGGCGCAGCGACGGGAACGCGGCGCGGAAATCCAAGAGGAGCAGTCCTGCGTGCGGCATGCCACGATAGCAGGCATATTCAAGAATGTCTGCCTCAAGGCAGAGCAAGTTGTCGAGCATAGACCTCTTGCGCACGAAGCCCGTCTGGGAGCCTATGACGCTGTACTGGCATTGCTGGCTAAATGGTTCGCATATGGCCAAGGATACAATTTTGTTATCAGTATTGCTGAGGGCAATAGGGCGAACCACAGATGCTTCCCGAGAGATCTCAGAGGTTCCAGCTTCGTGCGGGTGGATGGCCTTGGGGAGGTACACCGTGAGGGACTCGTTGAAGCCTTTATGTGGGGGCCCATAAGTAGGATTGTCCAAAATAGCGAGATAAACTTGATACAAGGCATTGTGAGCGGCGTCGCCAGCGAACCGCCATGCACTGTATGGGATGCCGTCGGGGCCAGTCGCGCTGTCCTTGCGGCCGACGAGCTTACCTATGAAGCTATGCAGGTCGAGCGTCCACTCGATACCTGGGGCAACCTGCTGAATCTCACTGCTCAACAGTGTCTTCTGGAAGTGGCATCCCCTGTCCTGAGGCTTCGCGGCATGGACCCGCCCCCAGTGCGACGCAAGATTCTGAGCACTGACCTCCAGGTCAGGCGAAGGGCACCCGGCGGGGTCGGGGACGGAAACCAGAACAATACGGCGCCTTTTGGGAGACCACTGTCGCAGAAGCTGGTGCAACCTGAGGCCTCGATCGTCGTCGGGGGCTCCGCCGCCTTCGACGTGTTCGCGAATTTCTCGCTGGAGAAGAGAGTGCCGAAGCTCGGCCACTTCACGATAAAATGACACCGAATCTCTAAAACAACATTCATCAGCATGAACATGTAGACTAAGATGAGGAATAGCCTGGATACACCTCCGAATGCCCCAAGACTTGCCATCCCGAACAGCCCGAAGAAACTTAAGGTAGACCGATAACTTCTGCGCGTCGTTGCGGGGGCCTCGGAAGAACATGCGAGTCATCAAAGCATCCTTGGCAACATACATCGCGTCTTTGACGGACAGGAGGTATTCGAACGGGTCCCTGGGCATTTCAACCGAACCAATGGCAGCCTCAACTTCAGTACCAAAATCAGGATGTTTGGCAATCCAGGAGGGGATCGTCGGGGTTGTTTTGCCGCCAGGCGAAAACTGAAGCCAGACAGGAATATGGTCGCTCGGCTGGGCGACATCATGAGCAAGACCTATGACTCCGCTCCGTGGAGTCGCATCTAGAATGTCGGTGGTGGCAGAAGATATGTAGAACCTGTCCAAGCGTCCAAGGCTAAGCGCACCGTCCTCCCTCCTCCCAGACCGATGAGTGGGCTCTTGTTGGGCAACTTCAGCGAGGTGTCCGAAAACCCGAGAAAACATATGCAGAACAGCAGTCCTCTCAGGGGTGGGTTCCCTTCCGTCTGTGAACGTCCTCATCTCCCCCTCCTCCAAGAAGTTAAAATCGCCTCCCAAGATGACAGTGGCCTGATCAGCAGGCAGAGCGTGAGCAGCAACAGTGCGGATCACACGATCCTTCAACGTCGGAGAGGGTGGGGTCGAGGTGAAAGTTAATCAATTGCAACGTGCCTTTCTCGCCTGTTAACGTAACTGCAATGCATCGTCCATCGATAATGTTTTCAACGTGGATGTCCTGAAAGAGCTGGAGTAGGGAAGGATCAATAGACATGGTAACGCCTCCCGCCGCCGCAGAAGAGCAAAACGAGCCAAAGTGCGTGTGAGCTGGCACGTCACGATCCAGCGAGGAAAGATCTTCTTGGGTCCCGTGGGTTTCCTGCAAAAATACTACTTGAAAGCGGTGTACAAGACTTCTGAAAATCTGCTGTTTCCGATGCTGTCTCTGTGGATCGCCATACACACTGCCAAAAAATGCACGAGTATTCCATGAAGCAAGACCCACAGTGCGAGAGATGACAAATGGATGCCGCTGCTCAGCAGGAGCAGCATCACCTCCCCCAGGAGAAAGTGGAACAGGAAGGTAAGGATCAAGAATAGCTGGCGCATTCTCGGGAAGAGGAGAGTCGGGCAGAATCGAGGTGGCCTCCCCCCCTTCTCGCAGAAGGGCTCGCAATCGTTCAGGATCGAATTCACCATCGCTGTCGCTCACAGGTACTGGCTCACTCCGCCCCTATTCGCGGCGAAGGGCAGCAGTGACCAGCTCGGGCAGCTTGTCGACTTGCTCGTCGGTGAAGCCGTAGCGCTTCAGGTTGCCCCGGTTGGGCTCGACGTTCGGTTTGTCGGTCTCGAGGACGTTCTGCAGCACGACGAGCTCGTCCACGAGGTCGCCGTTGACCAGGAAGCAGAGGCCCATGTACTTGTTGCAGCGTAGCTGCGAGTCAGGTCGCCAAGTGCCAGCATCAACCATGATTTGCTTGATATGTTGCCAGACCTGGCCCAGCACCCAGCCCTTCTTGCGGACATCGATGGGTTCGTCAGTGCCAACTCGAAGACGATGCCGAAAGCCACTGCCATCTCCCCATTCTAGTGTCATGGCACGCAGCTGCGTGCAATGCATTCTTGGCGTCGTCGGCGTTCTCAAAAATGATGACGTAGGCGTACTTGCAGCTCTTGGTGATAGCGGTGCACCTGTCGCGGTAGGTGGGCGAGAGAAGGGTCTTCAGGAATTCGAAGTGCTTGTCGAAAGCGGAGGCCACCAACTTGACAGGAAACCCTCGCACCCAGAGCTTGCGCCTGTCAGCAGGCGCGGCGGTCTCTCCACGGGGTGTGGTTGCGGTCCCCCAAGTGCTGGCACCGCCGGATGCCGTGGATGGTGGACGAGATATCGAAGCAACTGAGGTCTTCAGCTCCTCCAATGCGGCATTGATGACGCTGATCTTCTGGTCTGTCTGAGCGCTAAGCAGAGAGACCGTGAGGCACGTGTCGACCATGTCGTCAGAGGCCTCGCCGCCTGTGTTGTGGACGTTGCGCTGCTGCAGGGCGGTGATCTGGTTCTGCATGAGCTCGAACTTGGTGTCCACCTCCTTGCGCATGTCGGTTTTCATGCTCTCCATGTCTTTGGCGAGGCTGGCGAACTTTGCGTCGTGGGCGTTGACGGTGGCTACGACGGTGGACATCGACGCCAACAACTGATCCATCTTCTGGTCCATGGAGAGAGTGGCGGCCATCGCGGCAGCCAGATCACCTACTAGAAAGTTGGATCTGACAGGGCTAATAGAAGCACCTCCACCGCGCACACCCTGCCGCAGCTGCCAAAATTGGCTAGAGAGATGACTCCCACCCACTGAAGGGTCCCTGGTCGGGAGTCTTTGGAAGCAATCGGGAAGGCCCTGTGCCTCCCAAAGCAGCTCGAGCTCCCCGTCGGCTGCGACCAAGGTCGAAGCGCCAGGGAAACGTTTCGACCTTGAGCCAAAATGGCTACGGATGATGATGATGATGATGATGATGATGATGATGATGATGATGATGATGATGATGATGATGATGATGATGATGATGATGATGATGATGTGATGATGATCATGATAGGAGGAGGAGGAAGAGGAGGAGAGCGAGGGGGTGGGAGGAGGGGAGAAGGAGAGGATGGGGCGGAGGAGGGAGATGAGGAGAGGAGGAGGAGGAGGAGGAGGAGGGAGGAGGAGGAGGAGGATGAAGAGGAGGAGGAGGAGGAGGAGGAGGAGGAGGAGGAGGAGGAGGGGGGGAAGAGGGCGAGGAGGGGGAGACAATGCAGGATAATCCAGGAAGGTCACGCAGGGCTCCGCGAGCGCAGTGTCTCCCCAGGTCAGCCTCGAGCCTCCGTCCGAAGAAGCAGACGCACAGACGGGCCCACTGGGGGCAGGCCGTGGCCTGTGAGAGCTCCGGGCCCGCATCCAGAGATCGGCCTCTCGTTGGGGTCGTTGCCCTGCCAGAGCCGATGGAGCGCCTCTGCCGACCCCCCAGAAGGCCCAGGGCCCCATGAGGACCCCGCGAAGGGCCGCGAGGGGCCCCGAGGCAGCAGAAGCAAAAAACACGAGCTCGGAGACCGAAGTGGGGGGGCCCGCCGGGAATCACTGCTGGCTCCGGGTCAAGGGGGCCTACATATCGTGGTGGGGGTCGCAACAGCACAGGTAATCCTATGGCGCGCGGCACGTGGCAGCCGCGTGCTGGTGGTGCACGGCGTGAGTATCCCGCACGACGAACGATTGCACGAACTACGGCGCGGATGTGTTGGGACCCCTCTGCGAAGGACCCATTGGCCCGAACCGACACTTGTCGGTGGTGGACAAACCTCCCTGCAGTAAACCTCCCTGTAGTGAAAACGGCCTAGGGCCGCAACCGACGGACCTGGACCCGCAAACATGACGGCCGCGACGCCCCCTCGCGAACCGAAAACGGCCAATTCGCTTATGGACGTGTCAGGGTAGGAGGTCCGTCAACCTCCGAACTGAAGCAAGCGGACGATCAAAAGCGGGCCTTGCGCGACGTGGCATCGCGGCCTTGCGCCTTAGCCTACGCGGGCCGCCCGCGCGGCACGCCGCGCTGGAGACGATGGCGCTCGCGCGAGGCCTTACGCGGGCAGCCTACGCTGAGGTCGGGCATGTCCCTACAGGCGGATGTTGGGCGAATAAATCAAAATACCCCAGAGGTGCCCCCAAATAGTCGAAACTAATCAAAAAAAAGTCCCCAGACTGTTTTCCACTTTTTTCTGAATACTCCTCACGTCGAGGGAACAGGCCCGACTTGAGCCTACGCGCCAGTGTTGGCGCAGGCGTCGCCTACCCCGTTTTCCTGGGTCGCCCACTCGGGGGCGCCCCGAGACCCCGGCCCCCCTCCTCGGGGGGCAGGGACCGGGAAGGATCCAAGGCAACGGCCTGTCCCAGGGTACGGTCGGACCTAGGATAAAGTCGAGCCTGTCTCTCTACAGAAGGAATATTTCAAAATGGTCCAACAAATATGGGGACGATGATTTGAGTGTAGTTTTCACCATCCAAGCGCATGTTATATTATATTTATAAAATTTATGCTGAAAATCAGCCTGTAGGGAGACGGGCCCGACCTAAACCTAAGACAGAATAACGAGCTTCAATCGGGGATCTTCTTACCCGTGTCAATCCAGACCCAGGTCAGCAGGAAACCAAAAAACTGCAATGCTGGGGAAAAAAACTGCAACGCAGATCTTCGTCAACCCGGGTCAGCCAATATGCGCGGCCGCCTCGCGGCCACGAGCGGCTCGCTAACCCGGGTCAGCCAGAGGGGGTGTTCGCAGGATCCTGCAGGATCCGGTGCCCTGGCTGACCCCCGTTTACATTGACCCCCGTCTCGAGGCTCCCGATTCCAGAACATGAGACCCTCCTCCGGCCAAAACGCACAGAGCATCCAGGGGCACCCTCCCCAGGGTGCACGGGCACATCCAGCAAGCACCAACAAAAATATCAAGGTGCCCTCGCCGAACCGAACTCGATCTTGTACCTCGGTGCGATCGTACTCTGCCCTGCCAAAGTCAAGTGAGTCTGCCCTGTGCTCTGCGGGGGTCGGCAGGAGGAGGACCTCACCGCATCGCCGATACAGCGATGCATCGCCGTCGCCGATGCATCGGCGACGCATCGGCCATGCACTGGCGACGTCGGCGTGGAGAAAATTGGGCCCCACGTCGAGCCGCATCGGCGATGCGGTGCGATCCTCCGACCAAATCTACTCCGACCCCATCTAGGAGGCCTAGGGTGAGGGAGGTTCGAAGAGGAGGGGAAGGAGGTTCGAGGATGGTCTTCGCAATTTCAGGCCTCCAGGGGCTCGTCGCGGGGGCCTGGGGCAGCAAAGTTTGCCTGGCGCGGAACACGGGCCAGGAGGGGTTCCGGTCCGGGGGATGGATATTGAAGAGGAGGGCAGGAGGGGGGGGATCCCCATTACCTTCCAGCGTGAGAGAATCGCCCTCCAGACCAGTAGTCGGCGGCGAGCGAGGGAGGGAAGTGAGAAGGGGCGGGCCTTCTCAGAAGGTTCAGAAGTCCTCCGACCTTCTGATAGAGTTTTCTAGGCTCTCCCCGAAGACGCAGAAAGCTTCTCAAAGGCCGGAGGGCTTCTGAGAAGTCCCGCCGCCTTCTGAGAAGGCCTAATCCTTCTGATTTCTCCCCTCCGCTCGCCGCCGACTCCGACTCATTCACAGTCAGAGTCAATCGCTCATGTCGAAGTAGACCTACCTGGGATGCTACGCTACGGCTACAACATCTCGACTGGTAGTTCATTTCGAAGAGGTTCTGGTGTTGCTTCTTAGCCCTCTGCTGTGAGGTCCGAGGCATACTCCCTCATGCTGCTCCAAGGAGGCCTCAGAGCGTCCAGGCCCCCTCGAGGCACGTTCGAGAATCCCCTCGGGAGCCGACCATGCGGAGAATCGGCGTCGGCGAGCATCGCTGGCGAGGGAGGACGGTCGACCGACAGCGACGACGACCCGCGATAACGGCGCTCGACGACAGCCAGCGGACGGCGACAGCGGCCCACGAAGACGAACGAACGCAAATTCACGACGATTGACGACAGCGACGATCGACGATGACGATCGGCGCACGGCAGACCATTTCAGGGGAGACGTCAACCTCGGGCACGGAGGACCCGAGTTGGCCTGACGGGGCCGTCATGAGAATGACGAGAGACCCAACCTGAATTTTGACGCGAGCTCCCGCTGCACACGTCCCACGAAAAAACGGGACTGTCAAAATCCGGGACGCGCTCGCCAAAAAACGTCGGCAAAACCCGAGCCCCGGCTCGCTCGAGTCTCACCCTTCCCCGACACCTCGGGAAGCCAAAAAGTACCGACACCGCTACTCCCCAGACCTCTCCTGGGGTGGGTTCTGGCCAGGATTTCGAGGCGAATCCAGCGGTGGCAACCAGGGCTTCCCAGGAAGCCCCAAAAAGTGGAAAACCATTCTGGGGTAGCGGCATGGGTACTCTTTCCTCCCCCGAATCATCTACGACGACGATCGACGACGATCGATCGACAAGCCATGGCGTGACAGCGACCATCGACGCCGACCTCGGGCGGCCGCCTCGGAGCCGACACGCGAACCCGCCGCCGGCGCGCGCGTCAAGCAAGAGAGGGCGGTCCAGGTCGAGGCGGCCCAGCAGGAACTCGAAGCTGAAACGTTGCGGCAGGTCGATGGTCTCCACCTTCGGGCGGGTGCGAATGGTAAGTCGGGCCGGTCCCTCTACAGGAGAGATCTTCAGAAATAGTAAGGAAGTAATTGGGGACTATTTTTGTTTAACTATTTGGGAGCATTTGGGGAGTGCTTTGTGAGTATTTGTAATTTGTCGCCCAAGATCCCCCTTAAGGGGGGCAGGCCCGACCTAATGCTCATGGGGGGTGGCCCCCATGGGGGGCGAAGAGAAAGGGCCCCCGAAGGGGCCCTTTTGGCCCCCCGTTGCAGCCAGTCCGTGCCCGAGAGGGCCCCAGCAGCGCCCCTTCAGGGCCCATTTCTTCACCCCCCCTTTGGGCCACCCACCATTGTCGGCTACACGCAGGAGTGACCCTGGGTAAGAGTGACCTTTGGTGCGCGGCTTTTTGGGGGCAGCGGGGGGACCAAACACGGGCGCGCAAGACGCTACTATCGCATCGCGTTCGGCGATCGTGGGAACCCACTCGGCCCGCACCAAAGGTCACTCCGGCGAAAGGTCACTCTTACGTCTAGTCGGCATTAGCACCCGCCCGACACCTGGGCCTGAGCAGGAACCGACCGTCCCCGCATTCCTGCAGGCCTGCCACGACATGTCCTCAGAACCCAAGGTGCTCGACGAACGCAGAGAAGGCTTTCAGAATGCAAGCGCGATGCATCAAAACAGGGCAGCCCCGACCGGATGTGCTC